TCAAAACAACCACTTATTGTTTTGAACCACTTTGGCTATGGCTGCCTCAGAGGAATCGATGGGGAAGAGGGCGGCCCCCAGAAACCATCTAATCACCAGCAAACTGGTTGATCCACTATGGGAGTGTGCACTTGTGGGACTGAGTTTGTTGTGGCTCCTCGGACTGATGAAGTCCTTTGGATGAAGGACGAAACGTCTCAATCAAAAAAGAAAAAAGAAACCATCCAGATGACCTGACTGAACTTTGTTGGATTTTTTACCTGGATTATTGAGCATGCTATATTCTGGTGAGATCATAAAATTAAACAAAAAAAATACACCTATTAAAAAACTAAAGAGAGTTCTGGTACTAAACTCGTTCCCGTTTACTTTACTATTTTAAGATACAGAAAAAATAATAAAAAGTGGGAAACAACATATGACAATAAATGCAATATTTATGCCTAATTAATAAAATTTGATGCGTATAAAAATGTTTGATCAAGTAAATTCCAAAGATTTTACTCAGGGCAGAGATAACTTTATGTTTGTGTGTCTGTAAAATCTGAGCGAAAATCCTTTGACTTGCTTTAACGATAAGTGGGAAAACAAAACTGCAGTTGACTTCAAAAATAAAATAAAATCTCAGAAATGTATATGAAACTGAGCAGCAGGGGGCAGTATTGCCACGTTTTCTCCTAATCTACCTGCCATTTTAATTTCAACATACACTCTAGATACCAGTGCATATTTAAAATGGGGACTGTGGTAGTTTGGTGGTCAGTGTCTTGCAATCCTGAGGCTGCTGGTTTGAGTCCAGGTTATATCCGGCATAAAACAAGCAAATCCTTCATGCAGGTTTGCTTGCTGTGGCGTCCCCTGCAGAAAGAAGCAGCTGAAAAAACCCAAAGTGTATTCTCAAAATGACAGCTTTTGATTTAAGTTCTTTATATACCTTAAATATTCATCATTATTGTAAGAAGCTTCAAAACCATTCGTTGGAAAATGCAGTAAACAACAGTTATACAATTTGATTAAGTTTTTCGTTTTTTCCACAGATCTTTTGTTGTTTCTACACGAACCTATTTCTGCTAAATGTTAGAGTCTCCTCCTCTTCCCAGACTGTGTGGTACCAGGGGTCTGCAGCCCTACTGCGAGCGCCTCTTCCTGCTCTCAAATACGACCACTGTAGTCATGACGTCCGAGGTGTCCCTCACAGGGCCGGGCCTTCAGCTGCACTACAGCATCTTCAACCTGTCAGATCGTAAGTTGTGCACACGGGTGAGAAAGTCGAGAAATCCAAATTTCTCTATAAAAATGATGTGTTCATTGTTGCGTCCAGCTTGCCCAGGTCAGTTTCTGTGCACTGTGAGCGGCCTCTGTGTTCCTCTGTGTGATGGCATCAAGGACTGTTCCAACGGACTGGATGAGAGGAACTGTGGTGTGTAGTTTCTTTTTAAACACGTTATCTCTTGGGTTGTAATTCCAAATAAAAAGAGACTTTTATGTGTGTAGAAATCAAAAAAAGATGTCAAACACTTGAGCACAGACACAATGAGTTAATGCTTGTGTGGTCACTTGTGACACCAGGATCTCTGAAAGCTGCAGGATTTGTATCACAAACACCGCTGAGGGCGGGATTATCTGAGCAAACCACAGCAAATCAAACCTGATCAGTGGATGTGCTCCTAAAGAAAACAAGCTGGATTAAAACCAAAATGTGACGCTGATCTGCTCTGACGGGCCAATTATCTCTACGTTTTATGAATCTGCAAGGCAAGACAAGTTTATTTGTACAAAACAATTCATGCCCAGGATATTTCAAAGTGCTTTACAAATACAGGGAAATACTTTAAATAAAGAAAATGTATTTAATAAGGATGCACGATTTTTACCGGCATGGTATCGGCCGATATTAGCGATAAAGTTAAATATCGGACATGGGCCATTCCATCAAAATAATTTACCAATAAAAAAGGCACTGTTTTTTTAATTATGTATTATATATTTATATAGTGTTACGTTATTTTCAGACCCCTTTTTGGCATCTGCATTTGGTAGCAGGCCAAATTAACAAAGACCATGAAGACTAGTACTTTAATTCCACAGCAAAGAAAGCTATGTAGTCTCTGTAAGTAGGTCTGGGGGGGGAATATCGGTATTGGTGTCGATTATCAGCCAAATAAGTTTTAACATATTGTCATATCGGATATCGGCCCAAAATCCAATACCGTGCATCCCTAGTATAGAAAAAAAATCCAATAGAATTATGATTTAAAGTCATTTCTGCACATGCCAGGCTTTCAGGACATTGGTTTTAGAGTTATTCAGATTATTTCTGCTCCTGGGATCATAAACCTCCTCTGGATGGACATACTTTATACCTGATAAAACATTTGACCATCCAAAGCCTTGTAGACTAATAACAATATAGTTTAAAATCTACTCTTAAAACCATGACAACTCTAAATAAATCATTTCCATAATTTAATGCAGTGTTTTTCAAAGTGGGGGCTGTGGCCCCCGGGGGGTGGGGGGTGGGTGCTAGGGGGCCTCAGAAAGCTGGAGTGAAGAAGATTTAAAAAAAGCAAAAATAAAAAATTATAAAATAATAATAATTGCCCACTAGGACAATCTGTATCTGTCATTTCCAGATAAACACGCTTGATGTTAGATTTCTTTTGTTTTGTTCTTCTGGTCAACAGTTTGTTGAAAGGTGTATTTTTTTTTTCAGTGGGAATATAATACAATGTTTAAAACATGTTAATAACATTGTTGGGCTCAGCAGCTGTAATGAATAATTTAATATAGTGAATAAAGTTAAAACTTTCTAAAAGTTGATGTTTCTTTACAAATTTTGTAGCATTGTTTGTGGATTTGCGAAGTGGGCCTCCGTCAGAAGCTAATGCTGTTTCCGGGGGGGGTGGGGGGGATGGGGGGGGGTGGCATGGAAAAGTTTGGGAACCCTGGATAATGTACTGAAAATAAAAACATACAGCAGTTGTTTTGTTTTTGGGGTTTTTTGGGAGGTGGTAGGGTTTTTTTTTGTGACCTGTTCAGACAGAAATCCCTTAATTTTAGCAATTTTCTTAAGATGAAAAAAAAAAAAAACTGTTTTTAACTGGATTTTAATTAATTAACCATACTAATAATCTTCTTTTTTCAATGATAAGATTCTTTAAATGTACATATATGTTACTTTTCTGTGGTGTGAAAGGTTGTGTACTGTAAATTGTAATAAACTGATTAATATTTAGAAATATGGCCCAAGTCTTGTGTCTTTGAAACCAAATTAATTATCGTGCTAACTAACACCTCCTCCTGCACCTCCCAGTCTGTGTGGCACAGTACACATGCCCAGAAGACAGCCAGTGTGTGGACTACTACAAAGTGTGTGACCAACACCCAGACTGTCCCGAGGCCACAGATGAGATGAACTGCACTGATGGTAACTCGCCCACCTCCACAACTTTACACATTCCCACAGAAAAGAGTGTCATGGCCTTCAGCCAATCCCTCACCAATGATGAGCTAAAATAAACTTTCCCTTGGTGTGTTTCAAAGCAGATATTCTGTGTACTTAAGACATGAAATGATAGATAAGTCCAGTTTTATTCCATTCAGTGGACTTGCTTACAGCAAAGCTTTAAATATAGTACAGACTGTGTGTGTCTGTGTGTGTCCAGGTGTGGCGTGCACGGATCTGACCTATGTGTGCGCTGATGGAACATGTCTAAAGAAACCAAATCCTGAGTGTGACTCTGTCACCGACTGCCCAGACGCCTCAGATGAGAAGCAATGTGGTGAGAGCTCACACACGTACATGTGTGTTTTTATTTTTTTATTTTATTCACTTATAATGAAAATTGTGACCCGTGCTGGCAAAGTGAGTCACAATGCGGATGTTTTTTCATTTTAAGTTATTATTTTCAAACTCTCCATCTCAAAAGCTTCAAAATGTTATATTGAAATTTAATGATTTATCACCTGGCTAGCAACAAGCTAGTTTTGTTTATAAGAGAGAGTTTGAAAACTTGGTTTGTATTGGTCTAGGACAGGACTATTCAACTGGTGACCCGGGGGCCAAATCAGACCCACGGATGAACTCAGTTCGGCCCACCAGTGGGTTAATTTTTAAATAAAACTAGATTTTAAACCATAACACAAACTGTTTTTAATGACGATAACTGCTGGATGTCCGGCCCTGAGCTCATGGCTTTCAGTAACGATGGCCTTCTGAGCAATTTATTTGAATGGTCTAGAATGATGTCATCTGGAATATAGCCCTGTTATTCAAAAATAGGAATGCCTAGAATCACAATGACACCCAAACATTATACATCGGGATTTCCTGGCGCTACAGCATCTGTTACACAGTTAAAACAGTGTTTTAAAGCAAAGGATTATTTCTAAAGACATAACTGTTAGACAGCTTAGATTTAAAGGCAGATTAGGAAGGTTACCGGTACATGCAATTTTAGTTTTTGGGATTGCTGAGTTTTTTTATTAATTTCTTTTTTATGCAATTTTCAGTCAAAAATCCATTTGTTCCTTCTTTTGGCTGCTCCGTTCTTCAGTGGTCGCCACAGTGAACTAATTTGCACGAAGACTTGGCGTTTGCTTTTACGACGGATACTCTTCCTGACGCAACCACAGACCACCGAGTTACCACAGCCCTCTGTGTGGAGCAGGGATCTTTGCCATCCTTGGCACCCGGGGGAGCAGATGGTGGGGGTTAAGGGCCTTGCTCAAGGGCCCAGAGTGGGGCAAATGAGGGTGGAGGCAGGTGTGGGTGCCTTTCCCACCCACATTTTTAATGTTGTCAGTCCTGGGAGTCAAACCAGTAATGCTCACCTTCTCTAACCTCTGCACCACCACTCCCTATTTTCACTTATTTTGTATTGCAGGCTGTGCTCATTCTGACTCATTTAGCCTGCACGGGTCACAGCTCATTTGACTATTGTCAGGGAAGATTTGGTACTTGCTGAGCATACAGGTCATGTTGGTGGGTCACCTAGGCAACCAACATAATGGTTTGCCATTAAAAATCTATATTGTTGTGAACAGAATGTACTTTCAGTGCAGTGATCATTTCCGAAAATCAAACAGGCAGTTTTGAATTCTAACTTGGTTTTGTTTGAGTGAAAAATCAAAACTGTGACCTTTTTCTGACTACGTTTGAAATGTTAATGGAATGCAACTAAAAGAAAAGGAATAAACAAGGAAAATATATTCATCTTTTCAAGCTGAATATTGACAGAGAAAGAGCTGTTTGCAGTAGATGTAGCCACACCCTCTTTGATTGTTCAAGTAAATATTTCTTAATGACATTTTCTCCTTCATTTCACCTTGAAAGGGTAGAGAAGTACTGATCCATATGAGAAGAACATGCACTATAAAATGGCATGGCTTTGAATCTCCTCCCCCATTTAGAATCTTAAAATGTTTTAATTTATGCTTAAAATCACAGGTTTGAAATTTTCTGAACATCTTTCTTAAGATTTAGTTGTGCATACTGTCACCATGTTTATACATTTCCAGAAAATGTCAAGAAAAAAGTCAATTTCAACTTATAAAAGTTTGATAAAATAGTTGTTCATTTAAAAACACACAAATGTGTGTGTGTTGTGTGTGTGTTCAGACTGTGGCCTGAGACAGTTCTCCAGTCGCATCGTTGGGGGAACCGATGCCTCGGAGGGAGAATGGCCGTGGCAGGCCAGTCTGCAGGTGCGGGGCAACCACATTTGTGGGGGTGCCCTGATCTCCAGCCAGTGGGTGGTGTCTGCTGCACACTGTTTTTATGATGACCAGTAAGTACCAATCAGGAGTGGAGGAAGTGTGACAACAATCGAGGCACTATGTTGTTCAGATTAGAGCTGTCATTTCTAACCCGAACCAGGAGCCTGGCCCCACCCGACCCTGATTAGGGCCAGGCCGGGCCATAATAATCTGCTTAATGTGTGGGCCGGGTCAGCGTTGGGCTTTTGATTGTGTCAGTAGACGTGTGCAGCTGACGATCCAATTATATGGCAACATGGCTTGCCGTATCTCCAGCTGCATGCGGACATTTGACCGTGTGCTGACCGGCCTTGAAAGAGGTAAAAAGTTCAGTTAAGTTTCAGATGGACTACTGCCAGTGATCCATCAGCCCAAATGGACATTCATTCAGTCGCTGCACTCAGCGGACGTGTGCGGCCAACGTCCCCAACAGGTGAGATCACAAAATATCCGAGATGTCAGAGCAGGGTCCGTGTCTGAATAATGCAGAATGCAGGCAGAAGCAGGGATAATGCACTTTGACAGCCATGAAAGGACAAACTCCCCCTCAGCTGCGATCTTCTGCCCCCTTTCAATCAACCGCGCGCATCCGCCGACCATTAACAACTATATAAGCAGTCAAAGCTTAATTAAAACTGTCGGGGGTGGGGGGGTTTGGACCTGTAATTGTTATTTTGTCGGGTCGGGTGGGATTCGGAAATGATGGCTACAGGCTAGAGCCGGGTCAGGTCAGATTTTTTGGGCCCGAGTGCGACTCTAGTTCAAATGTTTTCAATAGCTGCCCACTGCTCCACCTGGTGGTGGATGGGTTAAATGCAGAGACTGTCACGGTCGGGCGGTGGTTGAGACCCAAATGCAAGCAGGACTCCAACAAGGTTACAAAAAAGGCGTTTTAATCACAAAAAGGCAAAAATAACAAATAATGCTGTCGGGGCAGCGATACTACTTACATTCATAGGAAAAACAGGAAATACCAAGGCACTAGGAGACGACCGTGAAGATGCAGCTTAAGCACCTAATGCTCCCCTGCCTGAGATGCAGGAGAGCACAGTATATAAAGGGGAGTCTCTAATTAAACACAATACGTGGCACCTGAGAGTCATTAACTATCTGCACAGAGCAGGGCAGGTGCAGATCGTTACAGAGACCCATTTTTGCGATTGTATGGGAACATACAATACAATATACATTATTATTATTATGTTTATTGTATTGTATATTTATATTATTATAATCCAGGTCTCTCTTGTAAATTAGTCCTTATGGCTCAATGAGACTAACCTGTTTAAATTAAGGTTAAATGAAATATTATTATTATTATATAAAAACATAATTAATGTATATGTGAGGATGACTCCCCCTCGTGGTGTGTTGTGCCCCTGCACTCCCTGGTGTTCCATTTGGTAATTAGCCCTTCCTTGTGTCACTTGAGGTCCTTTCCAGGTGTTTGTGTTTATGTCTCGTCAGTCTCTGTATAAGTCTGTGTCCTTCTGTTATTCATTGTCTGGTGATGTCTTGATGGTTCCTCGTACGTGTTTCCTGGTCAAGTGAGTTTTGCTGCCACGACAGCTCTTTTATTTAATTAATTATTAAAGTGTTTTTGTTTTACCTCCTGGGTCTCCGAGTCCTGCCTGCAGATGGGTTCAACCACCGCACCTTATTATGACAGTATATTGTTTGATCTGTGAGTCATTTAAAAAAAAAAAGAAAAAAAGGATGATTAGATTGTCAGTCCTGCTGGTCGGGGGGTGGGGGGGTACTGTAACAGCTGTCTGGCTCATAGTCAGTCTGTATTCATGTTCTTATCTGCAGCTGTTTTTCAAACACAGCACCAACTGAATGGACTGCTGCCAAAAAATAAAGCTGCAGCGTTCTGCAGAGGATTAACAGTTCGATCTAATTTTCTTGCTTGGTGATTCAAAGCTTGTGGAGCGTTCACTGACTCTCTGCGTTTCAAGGAATGAAGAGGATTAAAAAGAAAAAACAAAACAGTTAGACTCTAGGTGTTTTTATCATGATCATAAAAGTTTGAGAAACCTGGTACTTGTTCTTCTTGTGTTCCTGCTGCAGGCTCTATTCCCCCTCAGTGTGGACAGTGTATCTTGGTAAACTGCTGCTCAACCGGAACAGCCCGACCGAAGAGGTGGCACGAGTTCAACAAATCCACCTTCACCAGTACTATGACGATGAATCTCACGACTACGACCTGGCCCTGTTGAAGCTGGACCGCCCAGCGTACACACCACTGACGGGACATGCTCGGCCCGCCTGCCTGCCACCGCCCACCCACCAGCTGGAGCCGGGTCTGCTCTGCTGGGTCACTGGTTGGGGTGCACTGCGAGAAGGAGGTGAGCTGCAAGGGTTAAAAGATCTTAGGATGTAAAGGATGAAGTGTTTAAGAGGCCGTAAAAAAAAATAATCTTGGATTTGCGTTCAGCATTTAAACTAATTTTGGTCAACAAAAACAAGATAACACATCTCTAAGGATTTTTTGCATTTTAATTTAGTTTTAGTTTTAATTTAGTGGCAATATGCACCCAAATAAATATTATAAATGTGTACAGCTGATTTGATGAAAACAGTAATAATAATAATAATAAAATGTACTTTTCCAGCAACTACCACTTTTCACGTGCGAAGCTGCCACATTGGATTTTGAAGTTGGAATATTTAGATATTTTTAGGTAAAAAAAAATCTGAACTTAGGAGGTATTCCAATCATTTCCACCAGCAGGAAGGCCTTCAGTTCAAGTTCAAGTTTCTTTATTGTCATTCGCATCACATGTGGTACATGAGGTGGAATGAATTATGTACTCAAGATCCCAGTTACACCCAAATATAGCAAAAATATAAAGTATAAAACGGTATATACGAATTTAAGAGATACACTAAACACTAATAATGTAAAATAATACAGTATTTTAAACGGCAGCCCGTCAGTAGTGAGCAGAATGAATACAGCAGTTTGAGATAATCAGCAGCATAAGATCAGCAGCATGGATAATCAGCAGCACAGATGTCACATATCACCAATTAAAGTGGCATTAACAGCACAAGATGAGAGTAAACTGTATAAATAAAAGGTTGAATGAAAGATGAATAATTTCAAATATCTGACTTTAGTCTAGAGAGGCAGTCTGTGTTCTCTTTTTGAAGATAAGACAAGAATGAAACAGTAAGTATGCATCAACAATTGTTTGACGTTAACCCTGTGACTTCCTCCAGGCAGTGCCAGTAACGTACTTCAGAAGGTGGATGTTCGCCTGGTCAGCGAGGAAGATTGTGTTCGTTCTTATGGCTATTTGGTCACTCCTAGAATGCTTTGTGCTGGTCATCGCATTGGGGAGAAAGATGCCTGTCAGGTACAGAGAAATGTTACCAAACTGCAAAACTAGGTACCCAATTATAACCCAATATAAATAGTTTTTCTGTCCTTTTTTTTTTTTTTTTTTTAAATCAAGTGAGGATTACATGCATCAAAACACAGGTTGTTCATCAATAAACTACAGTAAATATATGTCTTTTAGAATATTTTAAAAAGACTTTAGTTTTATAAATTGCACCATGATTTTGACTCAGTTTCCCCAGTAAAAAAAATAAGCTGACATTCAGTGGGAGGACAGAAACAAATATTTTGTCTGAAAACCCAAGTAGCCATAACATTAAAACCTAGGGCAAATTAGGTAAGTGAAACACCTCATCTTGTGTTCTGCAAGGAAAACTTATAACTTCTCTTTATCATAAATTTCACTTTTGACATTTACACAAACCTAAGCATTTTGTAGACCACTCGGCACACCAACCTCACCACGACGTGAGGTTCTGTTTGTCCAGGAACGTATTCAGTGTTACATACACGGACGGTCACAATGTTATGGCTGCTTAGTTTATTCCTACTTTTTAAAAGGAAAAAAAAAGCACCAGGACAAAACTACCGTATTTTCAGCCGTACACGTCGCACCGCCCTATAAGTTGCATCAGTCCAAACATGTCTAATAAAGTGGAAAAATCCATAAATATGTCACTTTGCCATATAAGTCGCATCTATTATGCGTCACCACTGATGTGTCGCGTTTGTTACTCGTCACCGCTGACAACCCAGAAATGTGTGCCGGTGTTGTGCCACACGTTAGGACTTTATCAAGAATTTAATAAGATTAACACTTAAAAACAATTGTTTGCTCGAAATTATAGTAAAGGTGTGTCTCAGTCTAACTTTTGCTTAATAAATGCACTTTGAAGGTCAAATCAGCTGCGTTTCAAAAGCCAATACGCAGAAACAAGAACGCGCAGAGGGACGAGCCTCTGCGCATTTCTTTGAAATTTAACGAGATAAACATCTAAAAGCATGTTTGTTAGCTCGACTTTATAGTAAAGGTGTGTCTCAGTGGAATTTTTCCTTAATAAATGCACTTTGATGGTCAAATCAGCTGCATTTCACCGGAGTGGTGCAGCGAAATGAAGCTGATTCGGTTGCTCCAGGCAGACGACAGTGGCAGACTATGGCAAGCCGATTGTGTCATTAATAGCCACTTTTACTATTGCATGATATAAACAGCATGCCTTACTACTTGAGTGCCACCTAGTGGCTGAAAATGGTAGTGTTCCTTTTTTTTCAGTCAGAATTATCCAGTTTTAAGACTAGGCTTAAGACTCTCCGTTTTAACAAATCCTGTTAAAAGGGAGTTTTTCCTTTCCACTGTTGCCGTTGTGCTTGCTCAGGATGGGAGACTGCAACGAAGCCAAGATTCAACTTGTCTGCTGGATTCCTTAGATAGAGAACTTTACTAATTGGCTTTTATGTATGTGAATATTTCTGTAAAGTGCGCTGAGACAACTTTGTTGTGATTTGGAGCTATATAAATGAACTGAATTGAATTGAATGAATGAAACGATCATGGCCCTGTGATGGACTTGCGACCCGTCCAGGGTGTACCCCGCCTCTCGCACAGTGATTGCTGGACATGGGCACCAGCGACCCCCGTGACCCAAAATGGAATAAACGGGTAAAGAAAATGGATGGATGGATGGATGAAACGATCATATCTCAGCCAAAAATTGGTTTATAAATATGGGGATAAAATCCATAAATTTGTCGCAGGGCATGCACAATATGAAAAAAAAAAAACTGCTACTCAAAAAACACATTAATAAACCTAATGGGTTTTCATGATTTTTGACTTAACTTTTAGGAGTGTTTTGACACTACAATCTTATTAGCATCTGTACATGAGTCATCCAATCTCCCAATATGAGTCTTAATATTTGCTCTAATTTCAAAAGAGAGGAGTGCATTTGATACAAAACTCAAAATGTCTCTTAAACCAACGGTGTCCCAGGTTAAATATATGATTATCGACTGAATTGTTTCATACCGGCCGTTAAATGTGTTGTAAAAGCTCAATATTCAATATTGAATGACATCTTGAAACCGAACCTTTGAATCCTGAGTGTTGCTTCTCTCTGTCAGGGAGATTCTGGTGGTCCGTTGGTTTGCCAGGAGCTGTCAGGACGCTGGTTCCTGGCTGGGGTGGTGAGCTGGGGCAAAGGCTGCGGCCGACCAGACTACTACGGCGTCTACACTCGCATCACCAGGCTCAGTGACTGGATCAAGCAGGTCATCAGCAACCCCTGAGTCACCGGGGATCTGTCACACTGGGGCATAACGTTCTGGTAGATGGATTATAATTGTTTCGACAACAACAACAAAAACGATCTAAATAATTAAAGTGTATGTTAATATTTATGTAGCATCTTTTAAAATTCATATGAAGTTTTTGCAAATTGTGTCCAGTGTTGTTGTTTAATATTTGGACAAATTGACAGTAGTTCTCCAAATAAAATACAAACTTTCTCTGCTTGCTTGTCTGGCTGAGAGTAAATATGAAACTTGACGTAACCTCGCTACACTGCTCAAATGCTCATATCTTTAGGTCGAAACATTGAGGATTACACAGAGGAGTCAAATCATCGAGCTGCCATCTGTTTGTAAGACTTTACAAGACTTTACAATGATGAAACGCATCTAAAACAAAGAAAATGGGTTTCTGTTATGCAAAAACCATTCCTAAATTTTCTGTGAAACCTTTAAAATTCCCCGAATTACACCAGTTTGCAACAAACTGATAAATAAAAGCAGAATATTTAGTAAAGCTGGAGAGCGTAATGATGTTGGAAATTTCATCATCTGTTACTCTTGAAAGCATCCCACCTGAATGCAAACAGTTTGAAGTATGATGATGGCAAACAGCTTGGAGCACGGATGCTGAAATCATCCGTATCCAAGACGTCAACTAAAAACAAGCACCATTTACACAGTTCACGGGCCGCTGAAAATGTATGTAACTGCAGCCATGATACTAGTAAATATGTATATTTTGTCATCTGATTTTCTAAGATACAGTCCACATGAGGTGTAAACTGTGTCTAAAGGCTTCCCGTACTAGTTGGTCTTGAATTATCGTGATCACCAATCTGGGATGAAAAGGCTTTTGTTTCAAGGAGGTATAGTTGATTCCAGGCTGAGTGTACTAATCCATCTCCTTTCTTTCTTTGTGGAAATGTGCTGTTGTCCTCAGGGAATGTTTCAATGTCCTGAAGTTCCTATTTTCTGTGTGCAGTTGATCTTTTATTAGGCCATAAACCATCATAGCAGTTCTGCTCTGTGAAGCATAGCTACCTGTCTAAAACTGGACTCTGGTGCCCACAGAGACAATCCATCTCACCAGTTAACATATGCAGTTATGTTTAGTCCTTTATAAATTTCCTGTTTAATATGCTTTAAAACATCAGATGTGCTTCCTTAACAAACCATAATTCACTAGTGTGGATTTAAGAGGGGCCAGAATGTGACTACAACTATACAGGCAAGAAATGGGACTTGAACCCACAAGCTACAGAATGAACTGTTTTAATTCAAGTTCAAAAGGAAAAAAAAAAAAATCAAAATGCTTCTTTGTCCTGTGTGGACTTCTGCAACTGAAATTCACAACACGAAGGTAAACAACAAAGTTGTTTTCATCTGTAATTGCATTTTTACCGTCCACCAGAACCTGGACCAACTGAGCAGTGCGAGGTCAACGAAGCATAACAAAACTCCTAGCTTTGCATAATAAGATTCGTATACAAAGCTCTTGTATTTTTACTTTGAAATACACGTGGCTTTGGCTTGAAAATCTGTTTGTTATCCTCTATAATTAGCTGCACCAGACTCAGCCTCTGGATATTTTCAGGTCATTGAAATAACAACCGAGAAAAGAAACGGAGTGTTAAACATAAAGAGCAAACAGACAGACAGCTGAAGTATTGAATCTCCTATACTGCTTATTCTGTTGTTGCTTCACTGAAACAATCTGTCTGTCTATCTATCTGTCTATCTATCTGTCTGTCTGTCTGTCTGTCTGTCTGTCTGTCTGTCTGTCTGTCT